ACTTACCTAAGGTTAGCATATGACGCTATATAATTATCCCTATATTACCCCTGCATACACCCCATAACCCTAGGAAGGACGGAATGAATCCTCATAGTAGTCCCTGCTGAGGAGCGCGTGCCTGAATTCGGCCATTCCACCGGTGAATCCACAAGTGCTTGGCGCGCACCCACCTTGGGTGGCTGATAGCGGTTTAGGGTAAGAGTTTTTATGTTGGTTATATTGGGATAGTGGACAACAAAATGGAAACTGCTATTTAGGATTTACGGTTTAGGCTATAGGGTTAGGTTTGAGGGTTTAAGGCTAGGGTAAAGAGAAATTCCATGTGTGCTCGGAGGAGGGTAATAATTAGCACTGGTAAATGTTACGCTATTCGGACCCTACACCTGACACATTCGCAACTGACCGACCAGTTTGCAACACTTCATGAATCCCACCGCGCATGCAGAGCGCGTGGGCCTTCTGGCGAGATAGTTCGACGGGGATGGGATGGAGAATGACATCCCCTTTCACGCCATAGTCTAGAGAAGGCCGATGTGTTGTCCAGCCTTTGAACTTCCGCTGAGGGTGGTCAGTTGTGGAACTGCCTGACAATGACCCCTAATTACTGTGAACGTCGCCATGACACATGGATCTGGCAAGCCCTGAACCGAATGTAGGTGTACAGGTTTTAGGGTCAGAGTGTGGGGTTTAGGACTTGGGGCTTAGAGCTTGGGTTTTGGGGGCCTGATAGCTTCCTACGTCCCTTCCCTAATTGTGACCTCTGACTTCCGAATCACAAGGCTTCGTTTGCAAAGTCCTTACCCGTGTCCTGATCTGACGTGCAAGGCATCTACATAAAGCACTATCAACTTAAAAGGAGACTATATGCTGTCCCATGTTATTTTGAAAGAGGGTACTGCAGGGGCTTGATTTTTCTATTGGGTTGTGGGGAATATCATATTGTACTCATATAAAGACTATACTCAAGAAATATTGGATAACCCTAAACCCTAATCCCAAACCCTAAAAGGGAAACCCTAAAACCCAAACCCCAAACCCTAAACCCTAAAACCCAAACCCTAAACCCTAAAACCCAAACGCTGAACCCTAAACCCTAAAACCCTAAAACCCTAAACCCTAAACCCTAAAACCCAAACCCTGAACCCTAAAACCTAAACCCTAAAACCTAAACCCTAAAGCAGTAGCTATATGAGCTATAGTCAAAATTATGGTCCCTTTTTGTGTACCCTATACATTAGGTGCCGTACTATAGTAGGGACCCCAAAAGGGACCATAATTTGGACAACCACCCATATGCAGTCCAGCCACTTCAGGAGCTGCACCCAGGACAGGTTCCACCAAAGGATTGCAGAGAAGATGTGAGGAGCGAACCACACCCAACGCCTGGGGTTTTAGGGGTTGGGGGTTTGGGGTTTAGGGTTTGGTTTAGGGTTTACGGTTTGGGTATATATAGGGATATGTAGGGATAATGGCAAAGAAAATGGAAGCTACCATTTATGGAGCAGGGTTTGGTGGTGATAAGGGAACGCAAAATTGATAGGAATAGGAAACTACGGGAGTAGCAAACACGAGGTAGGACAACTTTTGCTTGTGACTTAGAGCCTGAGGTAGTAGACCCCCTAAAGGATCCAAAAAATGCAACCCCCCCAATGTGAACCCATTACTACATTGGGGAAAAAGCGAAAATTTCAGGCAAACAATGCCTCACGCTGGCTTTTCGTGCGGCAGACCCTTGAAAATCAGGGCAGTATCATTCAATTCGAATTTTCATCCCTAAACCATCTTCGCAGAGTGCTAGGGAACGTTCCAAGCTCCACATGGAACGTTGGAGAATGCTCATGCAGTCTATGTAAGTCTACTGTGGTCGGCTCTTTAAGCACGTTCTTGAGTCACTTTGAAGCCCTCTCAAGGAGCCTTTCGATGTAATTCTTACAAAGGCATAGGCTGCCTTTCTTCTCTGGAATCATCGCTTTAGGTTCAGGATTTCTTCCATCGAAACCTATCTTCCAACGTGCCTGTGCATTTAGACAATGCTCTACAAATCCATCGTTTACCATCCTCCAAGACCCTAAATCCCAGTCATCAGAAGAGGTGCGGGCCCCAGTAGGACGCCGAGACGTCTCGAAGGAACGTGTCTCCCATGGGGCTGGGGTCCTGCTGGAATCCCTCAAGGCCAGACACATTTCCTGTCGTGCTTTAAATGAAACCTGTTCTTGAAGCAAGGGCCCCACACATTTCCTATCATGGTTTACAAGCTGTCGTTCACGGAGTTTGGAGGCGAACATGACATTGAAGCCACCCTAAACCCTAAACCCTAAACACTAAATCCTAAACCCTAATTTGTGAAGCCATGTCAAATCTACTCCTTCACAGGGCTATCTGCTGCCAAGGTTAGGGTTTGAGGATTCAGGGTTTGAGGGGCAATATGGGTCAATATTAGGATAATGGAGAATCAAATGGAAAAGAAAATGGAAAATTAAATGGAAACTGGGGCCTGGGGTTATATAGGGTTTAGGGGTTTAGGGGTTTACTATCTAGAACTCAAGGACTTTGGGAAAGTGCCAGGCCTGGATTTTACTGGGTTGCTGGTAAAGAACTTGAATTAAGTTACTATGGCAAGGAAGCCCTATTATCTACTATATACGCTATACCGATATTACAGTAACTTAATTTAAGTTCCTTAGCAGTAACCCAGTTTAGGCCTAGGTTCTGGGCTTAAAGCAAAGGGTCAGGGGTCGGGGCTGCGGTTTTTGGAAGTGTTTCCCTGTCCAAAAACTCACTTACTATGTGCTCCACCTCTATAACCCTCTCTAAAAGTGACGCCGGCTGATTCTTGGACCCCCCCATGTGTCCCCAGTCATAAGCAGCTGCCGAGCTGTTGAATTGAGTTTGGGGGGGCAAAGCTGACCTGGACAAACAAACCTTTACATTGGGTACTGCCCCCACCCAGTAACAGTCTATATTAGGGGTCCTATTAAGGGCTATATATAATCATATTATAAGTATTATCCAACTGTAACTGAGGGGGGGCAGTACCCAACCTTTACATTTCCAAACCCCAAGCCCTTCGGCTTCCTAAAGCCGTAACCATCAAAATCTTAAACGTCTTCACCTAAACTGCCCTAAACCTCCCCAAGCCAATAACATCTGAGCCATAATCATAATCTACACTCCTCGTATCCCCTTAATAAGCCCGATAATACTCCCCTAAATAATCCCCTTTGAGGAGTTTAGACTATAGTTAATCTGAACACGCACCGACGGTCTCCCGAAACCAATAACCTCGCCAGGCCCCAGAACACAATGATCAGCAAACCCGAAATCTTGAAAACTTACTGTGGCATAATAGGAGATTTTGGAATATAGTCCCCCTGAAGTAGATAGAATATGACTTTGGGTACATTATATTAAAATCCCTACAGACCCCATATTCTATCTACTTGAGGGAGACTACATACTATATAGGGATTATATAGGGAGT